TATATATATATATATATATATATATATATATATATATATACGTATGTTGGACGATTAACGGTGCTTATGCTCACTTGCTCATATTCTTCGCACTCGCAATAAGCTGTTATTCTCGACTACTGAGCCACAGACGCACAGGACACGGTATCCAGTAAATGGTACATCGGCTCCACTGCAAGAACCGACAGTACGGGACAAGTAGGCAACTCGCTTTTCGTACGCTTCAAAGAAACCCTTAGGACCCTCAGGGTCGACTAGTGGTCAAAAAACGGAAGAGTCAAGCCACGCTGCTTTCCTCACTTGTTCCTTTTTCCTCTCCTTTTTCTCTTTCTCTCATTTCTATTGATCATATTGATCATCTTATACGCTTTCCTCCGAATCGGTGATAGTGAACTTGAGTAGAACCTTCAAATGATCGGTCCGTTAACATTGAAGTCAAGGAAATCCCTACTCACCCGCTACTGTAATAACCTGAATACACTCGCTGGTAGATACGAAACGGATATCTCGTTGCGGGAAGCTCAACCCAATGCAAAGGTTATTATAGAATTCACAGTACAGTTAAAAGAATCTATCCGCTTAGTAACGGCCCAAATCGATCTCTCAGCGGATGCACTCGCAAGCAAGAAAATCAAGCGGAAGAGTATATAAACAAGGCCCATCACACAGTAGAAAACGCAGAAAAACTCGCCATGAGATTAGAAGCGAAACGCGTGGGAGCCTTAGTTTCACGTCGTATATTTCCAGCGATCCTTCATCGCAGTTGAGAAACATAGGTCAGTTAAAGGCTAACTCACTAAAACTATCTTCTATTCCCATACCGGTGTTCGATGGGAGAATATGGGAATTCCACAATTTCTTGACCCTTTTTGAGGCGAATGTTGACAGCCTACGATCCTTGAACAACTTACAAAAATCCAACTGCGTAATGTCTTCTTCACGGGGTGACGCGCGTGAGTTGATAAAAAGATACCCCGTGACCGCGGAAAACTATACCCTTGCCATCGACCTTTCGAAAGGAAATATGACAACACTTCGCGCCTTATCACTGCTTTGCATTCTCGGTTAGACCATGCAAAGGTACAACAGTCAACGGTACAAGCGCAGAGAGCACAGCTGGAAACAATCACCCCGATCGTATTTCAACTACAAAAACTAGGGGTTGTATTAGATAGATCGTACAACGCCCAAAAAAATACTGGCGAAGTTCGCAGTCCTCATACAGCGAAAAGTACTGGAACACATAGTGGAAAGACCAGAAATGGAAGAAAACTGTTGGAAAATGACTAGCTTAATAGAGTCATTCGATGCCCTTTTAAGTACTGAGGAATAAATAAATGAAATGGTTAATAAAATTGAAGAATCGGCACAGCGTGGACAAAGAACCCAACAGTTCTCACCACGCGGAAAGCTCGTATGTTTTGCAACTCTCTCGAACATAAAGCTGTGGCTTGTACCCGCTATCGCACTGTTGCAGAAAGACGCAATGTTCTTTCGGAGAAAAACATGTGTCTCAACTGTGCATGAGAAGGACATTGGGTAAAGGATTGTCCAAGTAAAGGGTGTAGATTCTACACAATCATTTTCTGTGCCCCCAAAGGATAGAGGTCAGTACAAGACATCAAGGCACCTCGTTCAGACATCGAAAAAAGAACATCGACACAGAAGTTTTCGACGGCGTAACTCGCGCCAAAAGGCCCAAAAATACACCCACAGACAAAAGTCACACAAACACACTCAATAGTGACACATACCGAGGAGGACTGCATGGGATGCTCTCCCACGCAGGAAACACAGACTGCTATAAATGCAGCAACAGCACGCAGCCCCGCCACAACGCTCAAGGCGGAGAACAATGAGCTGCTTATGACGGGAATAGGAAAAATATGGAACGTAAAAGACGGAAAATGACAAGCCGTCGAAATACTCTTTGTCACCGGGGCTGACCAATCATTTAACAATCGAAAGCGAGCAGAAGATTTGAAGCATAAAATTTCTGAAGTAAAGAAAAATTTAAATATACACACATTCGGATCCACATCACCTACCATGATGACAAGTGAAGTGACACACGTAGGCATTAGTGACAAACAAGGTGTAAAGCATAAAATGCGCTTGCACGCGATCCCAGTGCTGTCCGTGAAAGGTACAAAAATGGACCTTACCTCACAGGACTGCTACTTCATAACTAACAACAACATAGAACTCTCAATGAGTCTAACACGCGCCGAATCAACTCCGCAAATTCTTCTAGGATGTAATCAAATGTGGGGACTACTGGAAGCGTTATCACCGAGCTACACGCTACCTTCAGGACTAAAAATTATATCATCGAAACTAGGATACCTGTTAAGAGGAAAGCAACAGCCAACAGAGCAACTTCTTGTGACGGATCAAAACTCATGTGATTCCTCCAGCATGGTGGCAATGGTTGAAACCTTCACAAATGAAGACGACGACCTAGAGCGATGGGACAGATACTGGACAATGGATAATAGTGGGATCTACGAATTTATGGGAACAAAAAACGCGGAAAAATCAGCAGTAAACCAACAGGTACTGAACTTTTTCAACGACACAATAGAAAAAAGTCCCGATGGGCACTACCTACGCTTACCATACAGAGAAAATCACCCACAACTCCCTTCATATAAAGCTATTGCAATGAAGCGCCTCTGGAGCGTCCTGAAGACGCTGAAATCTAACCCCAAACTCCTAGAGGAATATAATAACATCTTTGAGACACAACTGAACGGTGGCATTATTGAAGAAGTCATCCCACCTACTCATCAATTCACAAACAGCAAAGTGATCCACTACATACCGCACCAACCACTAGTAACGCCGCATAAGCAAACCACCAAAGTGCGCATAGTTTTTTACGCTTCTTCACATTTTTGCCCCCCTCTCATGACGTCCTTCACCAGGGCCCTCTCATCCTCCCGGAAATCTACGCAATGTTACTACGTTTTTGAGTGCCAAACCTTGTGATTACAGCAGACGTAGAGAAGGCATTCCTTCGAATCCATTAACATGAACTTGATCGGAAAGCAACGCGATTCTTCTTGGTACGCGATTATAAAATGGACCTTGAAGAAGGAAATGTAGTAACATATCGACTCACAAGAGTCATATTTGGACTTAACGTCTCACCATTCCTCCTAGGGGCAACAATCAATTACCACCTACGCAATGCAGTGTACCATAAATTTATAGCAGAAGAGATCGCTGAAAACCTTTATGTAGACAATCTCATCCTAGCTGCAGATACCCCTGAGGGAGCAATCCGCAGAGCCTACTCTCAAAAGAAATTTTTGCAGAAATGAATATGAACTTACGCGAGTTTTTGTCTAATAACAGAAGCGTGAGTGAGGAATTACAAGAAGAAGCTTGCGCATCGGTGCAAGGTCAAGAGGTACTCGGCATCCTTTGGGATAGTAAGCAGGACAAAATAACGATTTGCTGTAACTTCCCTGCAACCGTTTCTCTTAAGAAACGCACTGTCGCAAGACAGATTGCCTCTGTTTCTGACCCTTTCGGATGGCTAGTGCCACTTATGGTTCAGGCAAAAAGGTTCCAACAAGAATTATGGAAGCGCAACTATGAATGGGATAGTGCATTAGCAGGAGATGCTCAAGACCATTGGAATACTGTCTGTAGTAACGTACATGAGCTCCAACGCACACTGGATGGGCGCCTTTTGAACATACCAACACATTGCGATTTAGCGATTTTCTCAGACGCTAGTTCCATTACGATGTCAGCATGCGCCTACATTTTTAATGACAAACAATCAACACTAGTCATGGCCAAAAATAAATTACCATCAATAAAAAAGCAACCCTACCATCCCTAAAGTGGAAATGAATGCGTTAACTATAGCAGCACGCCTGGCAATTTCCATTGTCCCTGCACTCAAAGGATCTCTTTTCAAGGCCTCAACAATATCCACATATTTTCCGATTTGCAGATTGAGTAGAATTGGTTAGAAAGTGACCCATAACCCCAATCTAGGGCTTTTAGTCAGCAATCGATTGAAAGAGCTCAGACGCATAGTAGAAGCACCACACAATAAAGTGGTTCAAGTGAACTTCACATTTGTACCAACAAATGAAAACCCAGCCGACGCCGGAACTAGAGGAATTATCAAAGCGCAACTAAGTGAGTCACTTTGGTGGCACGGACCGACTTTTCTAACTAACCCCATCGATACGAGGCCGAATCTTCCTATCAGAACAAGCTAGACAGTTACCCAACATCTAGACTTATGAATGCGCTAACTTCAAAATCTAGCGGGAAAACAACGGAACCATTGCTTGACTTGAAACGCTCCAATTCGCTAGCAAAAGCAAAAGAAGTTCATGCTCTAGTGATGATCATTATCAAAAAACTGAACACCCTTTTTCCTCAGTCACTAGAAAACACAATAATCCAATATCCCAGGAATCAAGTATTTTCGAGTTACATTGGCGGGGACAATGACTGGGAAACGCTAGCCGCGTCACGAAAAAAACCACCAATTGACTTACGTCACAAAGGAATATCAAAAACATGTGGACAATAGACTAGCCCTATTTAAGGATAGTAACGGCATATGGCGTACAAAAGGCCGCGATAGTAACTCCGCCCTAGATGATGACATGAAAAACCCCGTGTTCATACACCAACACAGCTAGCAAGCCTTATCGAAAAAGAAGCGCACGTGGAATATCACCAAGGTATTGAACATACGATTGCAACAGTACGCTCACAATACTGGATCCCGAAATTACTGCAACAAGTTCGTCACCTAGTAAAGAATTGTGTAGCTTGTCGCAGATTCAATGGCTTACCCTATGCTTACCCGCCAACGGAAAACTTACCCAGTAGCACAGTACTTCGTAGCCACACACTCCAACATGTCGGCCTAGACTTTTTCGATCTTCCAGCAGTGAAAGAAAAAGAGGAAGAATTCACAGGTTGTGGATCCATATTTACATGCGCAGTCACACGGCTGATTCATATAGAACTAGTATGAAGTATATCAACGGAAGACTTCTTGAAGGAGCTTCGAAGGTTCATAACCCGGAGAGAAATTGAATGGAAA